CTAAGCCCTAAATCCTAAACTCTAAGCCCTGAGCCGGGTCTGAAATGAAGACCATGCCATGACCTAGGCCGGCGACCCTGCGTCCGACATGGAGGCTTTTCACCTTTGTTCCCTGGAGCTTCGAGGATTTCAGCGTTTGGGGTTTAGGGTTTCATGTAGGGTTTCAGGGTTTAGGGTTTTAGGGTTTAAGGTTTAGGGATTGGGGTTTTAGGGTTTAGGGTTTCGGGTTTAGGGTTTAGGGTTAAGGGTGTGAGGATTGAGGGTTGAGGGTTTAGGGTTTTAGGGTTTAAGGTTTAGGGTTTGAGGGTTTAGGGTTTAGGGTTTGAGGGTTTAGGGTTTAGGGTTTCATATAGGGTTTAGGGTTTGGGGGTTTGGGGTTTGGGTATTTAGGGTGGAGGGTTGAAGGTTAGGGCTGAGGGTTTGGGGGTGCTTTGAGCTACTCTTTGGGGTGGTAGGTTTTTACGTTTTTTGTTTCTTGCAGGGGCCTTGGGGATTTGGTTTCTTAATGTCTTGTGTTTATTTTCATAATAGGGGCTTCCGGGTTTTTATACAGGGGACCTAGAGGAAGGGGTGTTCACGGTCTTTCAAGGAAGTGCAGGCTTCTATGGAGAGCGTCACGGTCTTCATAGTGGGATTGCCCTCAACCCTAAACCCTAAACCCTAAACCTTCATCCCTCAACCCTAAACCTTAAACCCTAAACTGTGCGTTCAGTGCCCTGGGTTCCAGGATTTGGAGGGGCTTTGAATCGTGAGGGGCGCTTTAACTTCAGCCTTTCCGGACCCAGGCAGCGCATGGTTTAGGGTTTAGGGTTTAGGGATCGAAGCATCGTGGGTGCTACCTGAGACCAAGGATGCCCACAATGTAGCGTCTAATATAGGGGCCTTGATACTTACCTATACTATTTTGGGGTTCCTTATGATAGATACAGTATAACATGCCCCAAAACCCTATTCTAGTTGTCCAGACCCCTATATTATATGACGCTGCTGTCTTGTCTGAGACGCCTTCTAACGCGCAGAACAGCGGGTCTTGAGCCTCAAGCCCCTAGGAAAAGGTCTGAAGAATCAGAAACTAATCGTAAAATGCCTCTATTCATACTCGTAGTTTCTAAGTAACTGTTGGCACAGCAGAATTTAGCCCCAAAGCCAGAACGAAAGTAAAGCCTATGTTCGACCTTCCCTTCAAGACCCTTCACCCTCACAGCCTGGAGACCCAGAAGTAGCCATAGAGCAAAGGAAGCTCAGAAGCCTCTAGACCCTAGAACCCAACTCCGAAACCCGAAGCACTAAACCCTAAGCCCTCAACCCTGACGGGGTTCCGAAGCCTCAACAACCCTCAGAGCCCTAAGGCCCTAAACCCAAAAAAGCCTTAAAATCCCAAACTCAGGGTTTAGGGTTTAGGGTTTAGGGTTTACCGAGACTTCCGGAAATCTCTGCTTCCCTGAAGGCCCCGCGGAAACTCCACGTCATGGCTATGGCTGCAGCCCAGAGGGCTGGCACTCGGGGAGAGGACGGCGTTGGGTTTAGGGGTTTAGGGGTTTCGGGGTTTGGGGTTTAGGGGTTTAGGGGTTTAGGGGTTTCGAGTTTCGGGGTTTGGGGTTTAGGGGTTTAGGGGCTTAGGGGCTTACGGGCTTTGGGGTTTAGGGGTTTAGGGTTTAGGGTGTTCGTTCCTTTCGTGGGCGTCATCTTTTCGTATCTTTCGACATTGCTTGGTGTGTTTTCTGCCAACCTTAAACCCTCAACCCCAACATCATAATAATAGGGTTTGAGTTATACTATACTATAGTTATGTAAGGAACCCCCAACAACCTTATTCCAATTATTAAGGCCCCTGCATTAGCCCAACGCCCGGGGCGAGAACTTTACGAAGCTCCGGACCTGCGAGGCAGGCGCACGTGCGGCCAAAGCTGCCGCCATCGCGCATCTAAATGCGCCTCTCGGCGTGTCGAAGATATGGGTAGTTCTCTAAATTAGGGTCCCTTTTGAGGTCCCTTTTTATAAGGGTGCCGTGCTATATTGGGGTCTTAAAAAGGACCCTAATTTAGAGAACTACCCATATGTTTCCCTGGTGCATGGAATGCGTTTTAGGGTTTAGGAGTTCTGGGTGTTGGGTTTAGGGGTTTAGCCTGAATCTAGGGCCTATAACGCTAAACCCTAAACCCCTAAACTTTAAGCCCCTAAACCCCTAAACCCGAAACCCTAAGCCCTAAACCCTAACCCCTAAACCCCGGGCTTAGTAAGCCCCTTAACCCCTAAAGCCTTCAGCCCAGGAGGCGGTCTGCCGAAGCCCCGAACCTCAAGCTCGTAGCTCTAAAGCGACTGCGCGGCTGCGTTGAGGGTTTAGGGTGTGGGGTTTCGGGTTTAGGGTTTATACGGTTTAGGCTTTAGGGACTAGGGTTTAGGGGTGTAGGGTTTAGGGTTTAGGGCAAAATGCTCCTGCGAGGTTTTGCACCTTGGAGGATGGGTTGGCCATCTACGAACGTTGTTCGAGGCGAATCTTGGTTAAGGGTAATAGCTTCCTAAACCTGAAACCCTAAACCCTGAACCCTAAACCCTAAACCTTAAAATCCCGAGCCCGAAAGCCCTTTCTAAACCCTAAACCCTAAACCCTGTCCCCAGTGTGCTTTCTTCACGGTTAACTTGCTGGACGGAAAAGCGGTCTTCAAGAAAAACATCCCTAAACCCTAAAACTCTAAGCCCTAAGCCCTAAACCCTAAACCCTAAACCCTAAACCCTAAACCCCTAAACCCTAAACCCTAAAACTCTAAACCCCCAGGGACCCCAGGGTTGGTTTGAGGCTTGGGAGTTGGAGGGCTTTGCCTGTAATGATATAGGGGGCCTGAATAACGACCTAAGCTATTTTGGGTTTAGGGTGTAGGGTTTAGGGTTTAGGGTTTAGGGTTTAGCTATTTTGGGGGCTCCTTCTTGTGATTATAGTCTAATATACCCCCCCAACACCCTATTCTAAGTATTTAGGCTTCTACATTAAGGGTTTCGGGGTTCAGGGGGGTACTTTTCTGCAGGCTTTCAGGTTCTACCCTATAGACCCCGAACTATAGGACTGAAGAAGGTGGTCCTACGTTAGAACTGCTACCTAGTTGGACCCGGATATGCCTTGTTTTCGCGACGGCAAACCCTGAAGCCCCCTTGCCCTCAGCCCTTTTCCCCCCTTCTGCGATCTGAGCCCTGCAGGTTCAATCACTCCTGCGCACCCAATGCTAAGTATGGCCTCACCCAGGTTTCTCGGATCATGCTGAGACAATTTTCTTCGGGGTCTCGGCGTTTATGGCTGTCGGGGCTTGGGGCCGGTACTGAATTAGGCATCTGATCACGGTAGGGTCTTCTTCAAGGGCTCACGGTACATGGTCCGTGGTACAGGGCTTCCGCAGAATATCTCAGAAAATCTGCTTTGTAAGAGTTGGCTTTGGCAATTTGATGAAAAGGCCTTAGAAGCTTCGTCAGGTATCAGACAGGGAAGCTTTCACGGTTCTTGCGGTTTAGTTCCAGACAGCAAAGTTCCTGACCACGACCATCAACACAAACTCGATCAGAGAAAATGAGCCAATAGCATGACCTGCAGCAACATCGGTAGCGGTGACATGTCGTCCTGCGCCTCGTCGTCAGTAGGACTACTGAACTGCGAAGCAGCAAGATCAGTGGTAATCATGAGGTTGGCAACAACAAATCACGACAGCCGAAATAGAGCCCTAAACCCTCAACCCTAAACCTCTCCCTGGGCCGAAGGATGGTTTGATGAAGGTGCGCCTCCTACGCGCAATCGAGCCCGGCGAAGAGGCCGGCGAATCTTGAGGTTCGTGTTGCAGGCCTCTTGGTGTACAAAGTTCAGGGTTTAGGGTTTTCGGTCTTGGGATTTTAGGGTTTAGGGTTCAGGGTTTAGGTTCGGGCTATTGCCCCTTGAGGGGGGTTGCGGGGTGAACCCTAAACCCTGATTGAGAGTGGTCGTTGGGGTGGTAGGGGCGGGACTACATGCTGACGCAGGCGCGCGATAAGTGGGTGCGCCCCTATTAGAGTAAACCGTGCACCCACCGCGCGCACACTGTCTGCACTACACACCCTAAGCCCAAACCCCCTAAACCCTAAACCCTATACCCTAAACCCTAAGCCTTAAACCCTAAACCCTCTAGGGGTTCCATGGTAAAACGGAAGTCGAGAGCTGAGGGCTTTTAGGGTTTAGGGGTTAGG